GACAGAGGAGCCTAGCAGATTACAGTCCATGGGGTTGTAGAGAGTCAGACACGACCGAGCGACTAACACTCACTTTTCTAAATATCCCAAATATGAACATTTACCTCTCACTTTGGAAATCATAAAAGGCCCAGATACTGACTGACCACTGAGTACCTTTGGGCTACACCCAGAGTTTTTGCACCACCTTCATACAAGAAACTGAGAAAGGGGACCCCACGAGCTACTGCCTACATTTATCTCCCCCTCACCCTCACCCCAAGTCTTACCTCCCTGTTTGCTCCGGCCCAAGTTGGAACCCGGCACACTGACCTCTTAAGACACAGCCATCTCCCTTCCACCTGCAGGAGGACTTGAAGCCCTGACCCCCACCAACCCCCCACCCCACCCCTGATTTGGGAGAAGTAGAGCCTCCATTTGGCTTAGGGTCTTTAATGAGGGTCTGGCCTCCCTTCAAGGTTGCCCTGTGGCTGAGGCCCTCATTCCCAAAAGACACAGATATTCCTGGTCCCCCTTTGAGAAAAACTTCAGATAAGGATAAGCCCCCAAATCAGGATGCCCCTTCCCTCCTACTTGCCCAAACAGTCTTCTCCTCATCACAAACGTGGACCTCAACATCCACTGAGCCTGGTGCCGGCGCCACGCGTGTATCCCAGCCTGGTCCTCACGACAGGGCTCAGGAGCCGGGATGACCACCACCTCCATCCACAGGTTAGAAGCCGAGGACCCTGTGAGGGGACGTGCAGCTGGGACTAGACTCACAACCCCTGTGCTAGGCAAGCTAGCGACGTCCCTCTCTTAGGAGACTCCCTCCGAACTCGTATGTCCCTGATGAACTCCTCCCCACTTTTGTGCCTGGCAACTGCAGGGGTAAAGGTAGGACCAACCACGCTTCCTTTATTTAAAAAAAAAAAAGGCACATCTCCATGTGCCTTTTTTGTAAGTAATTTTTAAGATAAGTTTTTTACTACTGACTCATTTAAGTGAGGTGTCATGTATGTATAACTCTTTCTAGTGCACAAAGAAGTTATATGACGAATTATCCCGTTTCACCCCCGTGCTGGAAGCCTTGTGAAGTATACGAAGTTATTCACATTTTACAGATGAGCAGATGAGAAAAATGAGGGGAGCTGGCCGAGACCAGCCAGCCAGTGAAGGAACAGCTGAGCAATAAACCATCCCCAGGCCTTCCCGGCGATAAGCCCTGAGCTCTGGGTGGCCCCCGCACAGGCATCAGGACTGATTCCCGGGGATCTGAGTCAGGGAGACTGGCTGTACAACGCACGGCAAGTTAATTAACCTTCTCCTGCCTCAGTTTCTTCATCCATAAAACAGTGCTAATGGCAACCGTGACATGCGGTTACGCTGAGGATTAAATGAGATGCTGTAGGCTCAGCGCAGGGGCCGAGACGTAGCCAATGCTCATGAAATGGTGGGGACTGCCACCGCACTCCATGCCCCGGCAGGCCCGCGGGGTGCCCTGGCTCCCCAGACGGCAGTTGGAGAGGAGACCAGGTACCACACTGTATACTGCAGGTGCTTATTAACACAGGTGGGCTATGAGCGCCTTCTTACACCAGCCAGGCACCTCCCGAGAGTCCAGGGCCCAGACTCAAGGGCACAGGCAGCAAGGAGAAGCCAGTGTCCTCAACGGCAGGGCCCTGCACCCTCCTGCCAGCCAGGGAGGGGAGCCCGGGCCCACCACGGTGGCTCTGAGCAGCAGTGTCTGCCCCGAGGGGCCTGTTCCGGGACCAGGCAGCAAGGAGGTGCAGGCTCCCATCGCAGGACCACGTGGCCGAACGGTCCAAGCCCCCACCACCCTGCGCCCCCCGCCCTCCCAGGCAAGGCCTCCGCGCTCTGCCGACACCCCACCCCGCGCCCTGGGTCCTGCTCCTGGGCTTGGGAAACAGGCCTGTCCTGCCTCTCACTTTAAGATGAAAATAATAAACACCAACACCCACAGGCTGTACAGGGAGGGAAATCAAGCGGCCTCGGAGGAGCCAGGGCGCTAGGACTTGCGTGGCGCGGGCTGCCCTAACCGGGCAACCTGGGCAAGGTGCGTCAGAGCCAGGAGGCTGCAAACAGATAGGCGCTGGGGCCGGAGGCGCCAGGCCCGGACAGGGAAGGTCACCGCGGGCTGGCCTGGTTCCTGGTTCCTGGTGGCACCAGGGCCCGAGGGGGCGGGGCGGTGAGCAGGGCACACGGCTTGTGACTCTCAGCAGTGTGGCCCCAGCACCTGCCAAGCGGCCGCCCTGTGGGTTCTAGGCTGTCTCTTCTCCAGGGCGGTCCAGGGTCTTCGACCAGGATCTTCCCTGAAGTTCTGGACCCACCTGTCCTGCTCTTTCTCTAAAACCTTCCACTGTTTCCTGGTGCCCGCCCCCCCGGGCTTTCTCCTGGCCGTTCCAGGACTGATCCACCCCCAGAGCTTGATCCGCCACAAGGTCGGGTCACACTGACCCCAGGGTGACCGTGTGTTCCCATTCTCCCACCCTGCACCCACTCGGGCGCTGCTGAACCGCTCCTCCATGCGCCTCCCTCCTAGGTGCCTTCCCGTGTACGGAGTCTGCCCCACCCCCTGGCCCAAATCGAGAGGTCGCTGTTCTCCTGACACCGATCTGCTGAGTGCCTACCACATGCCAGGCCCTGGGTGCGCCAGGCATCGAGACCACAGGACCACACAAGACACGTCCTGCCCACGGTGAGCCCGTGGTCACAGGGCCGAGCAGACAAGCCCACCGCCGCTACACGATGTGGCCACCGATCCAGGATCAACAGACAGAGCCCTTACTGCGAGCCAGACACTGTGGTAAGCACTTCACAGGCTCACTGAATCCTTTCAATAACTCCGTGAGCTAAAGTGAGTGAAGTGAAAGTCACTCAGTCATGTCCAACTCTTTGCAACCCCATGGACTATACAGTCCATGGCATTCTCCAGGCCAGCATACTGGAGTGGCTAAGTCTTTCCCTTCTCCAGGGGATCTTCCCAACCCAGGGATCGAATCCAGGTCTCCCGCATTGCAGGCGGATTCTTTACCAGCTGACCCACCGGGGAGCCCAAGGGCAATGATTAATATTACAGGTCTCATTTTACAGACGAGGAAACTAAAGCCTAGCAAAGGCCAAGTAAACTTACTCAGTGTCACCCTGCGGCCGGCAGAGGCTGGAGGGGGTGCTCTGAGGCCCAGCAGGGCAGCCAGAGGTGACCACGGCCACAGACAGAGCCAAAGGCGGGGATGGCCACAGCCATGGCCCCCTCTCTGCTCTCCACAGAGGTAAGGCTGGAGATGAACACTCCCCACACAGAAAAGAGGCGCAGGGACAGGGCAGGCAAACCATCACCCAAGGCTGCCCTCCCTGATTCTAGACAGAAAGTGGAAAGCAGGAAGGGATATGTGTATGAGCAATAGCGAACAATCACAGTGTGAGGCAAGGAGGGTCCAAGCCCACAGCAAGCCCACTCAGCATCTCCACCCACCACCGAGCCACCAGCGGCGGAACTGGGCCCCCGATCTGCTGGGGGCCCAGCGACTCCAGAGTCCTGCCTCTGGCACAACCTGGGGGTGGGTCTCTGGGGTCTATCAAACGGCCTCTTCTTCCAGGGGCCCTGTGTGGCCAGGAAGACTCCACGTGCCCCTGCCAGCCAGGCTGGCTCTGCACCGGTGCCAGCCTTCCCCAGCAGCGGGAGGGCCGGTGCGGGGGAAGCTGGCACAGCTCCGAGGCACAGGTCGGCACGGGGCTCTGGGGCGCAGCCCTCAGACCGGGGTGCCTCCACCTGGCGCTGCTCTCCTCCCTACAGGGGCTGTGTGTGTGCGGGGCGTGCAGCCTCTGGGTCAGGCGCCGATGATGCCTGGGGCGGAGCAGAGAGACACGCTGCGCCCCCAGGACCCCCCAGGGGGCCTTTCCTGCTCCTCCCCTTCTCTCACGGTGGAAACCCCACCCCGGCAGTCTCGGCCCTCCCTGCAGGCCCCCTGGGCTGCCCCTGTCCTGCCACAGTCCCACCCAGGCAGGGGTCCGAGCAATCGGAAGCGACTGTTTCCTCCTCTCCTCCCAGCAACTCTGGAGGGGTGGGGTGGCGGCGCCTCCTGAAACCGGCTGCAGTGTAAGCTCCATGAGGACAGGGGCTTCTGTCTGCTTTGTAAAGTGCTAAACCCTGGGAGTCGAGAAGAGTGCCTGGAATACAGTAAGCACTCAGTAAATGCTTGTGGAAGGCAAGCATTACCACCCCCCCACCTTACAAACAGGAAATCTGAGAGTATTTCCAAAGGTTATTCAGCTAGTCTATGGCAGAACCAAGACTCAGAGCCAGAACTTCCCAGGTGTGACACAGCATATCACGCAATCGTTTCTGACACTAGTATTTACTGAGTATGTGACAGGGCTGGAGGCTCCAGAGGACACAGAAATGATTCCTATGACCAAAACTTTACCATGGACTTCTCATTTACCAGGTGCCGAGAGGCGTGAAGGCATGTCCTTTCTTTACAGGCTGCGTGTGTGCAAACACACATGGATAGGCACATATGAAGTGAAAGTCTTAGTCGCTCAGTCCCGTCTGACTTTTTGTGACCACAAGGACTGTAGCCCACCAGGCTCCTCTGTCTGTGGGTTTCTCCAGGCAAGAATACTGGAGCGGGTTGCCATTTCCTCCTCCAGAGGATCTTTCTGATCGCAGGGGTCGGACCCAGGTCTCCCACATTGCAGGCAGATTCTTTACCATCTGAGCCACATATATACTTAATATGCATATATATGTACATGCATGTACATGTTTACATATATATGTATCCAACTAAATTCTGTTTGCATATATAAATATGCAAATTTCTTATACACATAAATTCTTTGAAACCACCACTAGGAAGTATGGGGGAGCCCAAAGATTAAAACAGCTAATAAATGCAATGGGAACCTGGAGGGGGCAGGATTAACGGGAGGCAGAGGCTCCACGGAGGAGGGGGAAGCTGAAGGGGGCTCTGAGGAATCCAAACCTTCCAATAACAATGGAAGGAGCAAAAGCAACCCAAGGGGCAAGGAATGGTGTGCAGAACAGCCTAGACACAGATCCAGTCAGGCTCAGGGAACAATCTGCAGAGAATTCGTGGCCTAAGCTGTTTTCCCTGCCTGTTTATTTTTTGAAAATTTACACCTCTGCTTTAAACTGCTTCATCATCTGCACCTATCCAAAGTTGTTTTATTGGAAGAACATGTTCCTCTGCAATTTAAAAAAATTTTTTTTTCTTTTTTTAATTACCACTGCTCAGACCCAGTCTCATCACACTGCAGATGGAAACCGAGATTGCCGCAACCCAGAGCTAGCTCCTGGCAGGACAGGACACCAGCAAATCTCACGCGGTGTGATGGGGAGCAAAGGAGGAAGGCGGCTGGCCAGGACTGAGCGCCTGGTGGGCTGGGGTCTCGCCGGGCAACGACCTGTCAAGCCCGGGGTCTCGGGTCCCCCCAGCACACGCCTACAGCTGGGACACGACCTGGGGCATTTCAGCCTCCGCAGCAGAGATCTCCCTCTTGCCTGAGAGACTGCAGAGCTTTTCCTGCTGGAAATCATGTGTTGTGGGTTGATTTTTTTTTCCTTCCTGCTCGGCTTGTTTCGACACAAGGAAGAGAGAGGCTAATCCGCTGGGCAAACACGGGTAACACAGCAGGGCGGCCGGCCCTTCCCGGAAGCAGCGGGGCAGCGGCTCCGACGGGGAGAAACCGGATCTCCACGCCCGACTGGCCAGCAGCTGACCTCCCTGCCCTCTGCCTGGGCAGCTCCTACACGCCCCATGGGGGCCAGTTTCCCTGAAGAGTACTGGCTCCGCGGACAGACGGCTCCAGTTCCCAACTCCACCTGTCACCAGCTGAGTGATTTCAGGAAAGAGACCATGCCTCGCGGTGACTCGGTTTCCTCATCTGGCAACCACAGCAGTCATCCCGTGGAGTCACCGTAAGGTTTACATGAGCTAATAACACAGAAGCCAGAAATGGGCATCTGGACACCATAAACACTTGATAAAGTTGGCTGTCGTTATTATTTTACTCTTTGTATCAGTGTATGAAAGCGAAAGTGAAGTCGCTCAGTCGTGTCTGGCTCTCTGCGACCCCATGGACAGCAGGGCGCCAGGCTCCTCTGTCCATGAGATTGTCCAGGCAAGAGTACGAGTGGGGTGCCATTTCCTTCCCCAGTATCAATGAATAAGGCTCCCTAAAACTCACGCCAGGCAGAAGAGGCCGGATGCTAAGGGAATCTGCTGTGGAGTGAGCAGTGGTGTCAAGAGCTCACACAGGCCGAGCCTGCAGAGACTCAAAGCCTCCTGGTAGCGTCCTAGCTTCCCTTTCAGCATCTCAGAGCTAGAGGCAGGCAGTGGGAGGCTTTGCGCTTCTCAGCTCTGCCAGCTACTCTGGCACTCAGAAACAGGTAGCTAAGGACTCTGGCCTCTCCGGCCTCACACCCTCTGCCTTGGTTCCTGCCCTGGGGGAGGCATCTGACTGGGACCCCGTAGAGAGGATCCCCATGCCCGCGCACTTGGATCCCGCGTTTATGTCCTGTGGGAATGCTCTAGGCCTTTTCCTTGAGATAAATAGCTTGCAGGCATACTGGGTCTGGGGACGTTAACTGGATATTATCTTTAAAAACATTTCTAAGTATTTCCTTGAGATCTGGGGCGAACCTTGTGGGTGCACATAGGAATTCACCAAACTGTTCTCTCAGTGGGGGCTATGTATGAGTGGACTTCCCTGATAGCTCAGTTGGTAAAGAATCCGCCTGCAATGCAGGAGACCCTGGTTCGATTCCTGGGTCAGGAGGATCCACTGGAGAAGGGATAGGTTACCCACTCCAGTATTCTTGGGCTTCCCTTGTGGCTCAGCTGGTAGAGAATCTGCCTGCAGTGTGGGAGACATGGGTTCGATCCCTGGGTTGGGAAGATCCCCTGGAGGTGGGAAAGGCTACCCACTGCAGTATTCTGGCCTGGAAAATTCCATGGACGGTAGCGTCCGTGGAGTCGCAGAGTTGGACATGACTGAGTGACTTTCACTCTTGTGTATGAGAGGGCAGGCTTTGGCCTGGCCCCAGGGTACAGCGGTGGCAGTGAGCACTTGTGTGGAAGCTGCTGAAGAGGGAGGTGGTGGCACATGGGCATCGACGTTCTCAGTCTCCAGCCCAACATCTCCCCCACGGAAAGTCTTGAAGACGCAGGTGAGTCCCGCGACAGTCCCCGTTCAAGTCTGACTCTTCATCTCTCAGCCGCTTCGCCTGGACTTCCGAGCATCTAGCACCAGGCGTGGCTCTCGGCGGGAGCTCACTGCGTAGCAGTTACACTGGACGGGGGCTCAGATTCTCCAGCGCGCAGCCCAGAAACGGCCGCACGCACCTTTGAGCCAGGTGTATCTGTCACACACACCCAGGTCTTGACAGCTACCAATGTCCATGATAAAATATTCCATTGTACTTACAGGGTAACCTTGTCCTGGGGATTAGTGTCCAGGAATTGTAAGTGGGACTGCTAAGTTATGCTAGATGTGGCATTCCGATGTAGATCACTAAAGCTTCCCATCATCATCTTCTAATCGACATTAAAAGCAAAGAACAGAAGGGCCAAGATACTTCCCACTTTTCCCCATGTATCCTCTGCCTCACGGCTCTGGCTTCCCCGTGGTCCCCAGGCAGGACCCCACTCCCTCCTCCAAGCTCTTCTCGCTGCTTGTGTACCTGGGGCTGCCGTCTCTCTCCTCTTTACTGTCCAGAGCCCCACGGTATTCCAAGCCCACACTCAAGTTCGAGACTTGCATAAAGCTCTAGAATGGTCCAAGCGTCATGCATCTGTGCTCCTGCATCTCCTGCTGCGGGGCCTGGCGCCTTCCGGCGCTCAGCATCTAACAGCTCTGGCTGTTTAGGTGTTATTTCCCCTGATCGCAGGTTCTGGCCTGTACCTCCACCACGAATTTCTTTCCAAGGTCAACAGTGACATCAGATAGAGTCAAGTTCACCGTGGCCCCACCCCTAGTTGCCAACTTGTGTTCCTTGCTCAGACCTCGTCCCTCCTGACTTGGATGGTACTCAGCACTCCCTTCTAAAAACCTCTCTTACTGTGAAGCACATGCCACTTCCCTGAGATCACCTTTTCTGCATTTTTCGTGGCTCTGCTCTCACGCATGCTGAGCCCAGGCCCAGCTCCCATCTCAGCCCCCTGCGCCCTGAGAGCACTTTCTCACGGCTGGCCTCATCCCTCACCTCACCTTCAGTCCTCAGTCATCTGGGAACACCTGTTGGACAGCCCACCTAGGTAGCCTACTGTCAGTTCATGTTCAATATAACTAAAATTCATTCAACAATTATTTGATGAACACATACTAAGGCCAGGACCTTCTCCATTCACCGGTAAGCAAACCATATAAAAGTTCTTGCCCCGAGTGTCCTTCCACCTCAATGGGTAAATGAAATGCAGTATATCCATACAAAGGGACATTATTCAGCTTTAAAAGGAAGGAGGAAATTCTGACACGTGCTATAGCACGGATAAACTTAAAGACATCATGTTAAGTGAAATAAGCCAGTCCCCCCCAAAAAGCAAATACTGTATGATTTTACTTTTATAAGGTGCCTAGAGTAGTAGAAAGTAGCGGAGTGTGTCTGTCAGGGGTTGTGGGGAGGGGATGGGGAGTTAGTATTTAATGCCTACTGTGTGCTTAGTCGCTCGGTCGTGCCCGACTCCCTGTGACCCCATGGACCGTAGCCCACCAGGCTCCTCTGTCCACGGGATTCTCCAGGCAAGAATACTGGAGTGGGTGGCCATGCCCTCCTCCAGGGGATCTTCCCCACCCAGGACTGAACCCAAGTCTCCCGCACTGCAGGCGGATTCTTGACTGTCTGAGTTACCAGGGAAGCCCAAGTATTTAATGGGTACTGTTTCAATTCTGAAAGACGAAAAGAATTCTGGAGAAGGATGGCGCTGATGGCTGTACAAGAATATGAATTACAGAGTATCAGTGAACTGTATACTCAAGATGGTTACGATGGTAAATTTTATAACTGTTTACCACAGTAAAAAAATAGAAAAAAAAGGTCCTCACTCTGTGTACTTTTCTGTATGTTTCTTCAGTTTTAGTTCAGTTCAGTTCAGTCGCTCAGTCATGTCCGACTCTTTGCAACCCCATGGACGGCAGCACGCCAGGCTTCCCTGTCCATCACCGACTCCCGGAGCTTACTCAAACTCATGTCCATCGAGTCGGTGATGCCATCCAACCATCTCATCTTCTGTCGTCCCCTTCTCCTCCTGCCCTCAATCTTTCCCAGCATCAGGGTCTTTTCCAATGAGTCAGCTCTTTGCATCAGGTGGCCAAAGTATTGGAGCTTCAGTAACAATGGAAAAGGCTCTGTCTTCCTGGAACTTTTATATTCTCCGCTCGTGGCTGTGTTCGTCATCCGGCAGCTTCCGACCCACTCTCCCTCCCTGGAGCCGCCGTCCTCCCGGGCTACGCTGCAGTCACGCGTCTCCTCCTTCTCCCCCACAGCCAAGGGCTCTCCCTGCTTCTTCTCCAAGGCGTCCACCCCAGTCCGTCCTCCTCCCAGGATCGCAATCCCCGCCACCTCTTAATTTTTGATGGAAAACACGAGGAAGCCAGAAACACTGCGGTCCACGTTCCCCGCGCTGGCTCTTCCCTGGCTCTGAGTAACGCTGCATTTAAGCTTTCATTTCCTCGCCTGCTGGGTGAGACCTTCACGATGGCTTCTTCTGGCTCCAGCGCAGGCTGGTCTCTGGGTCTCCTGGCCTGGCCCGGCCCGGCCCAAGGTCTGGTGTCTTCCTCGCAGGCCCTCAGCAGCCTGAGAAGAAAGGCCTCATTCAGGAGGGAGGCCAGCCGGCCGGCCCGGGGAAGCGGCTCCCTGCAAGCGCTCCTTGGCTCGCTTTCCTGCCTGCCTGAACTTTCACTGCCTGCAACCTTGTGACTCTGGATTACCTGACCTTGGAGCCTGCCAGCCCCGCACTGCTGCTGGGACCTCTTCTGACCCGACAGCCTGTAACTGGGACAGGCCTGCCTGCTGACACTGGCCCCCGGCCTGCCTCCGCAAAGTGGGCTGCCCTGCGGCTGGACAGCCAGGAGGCCGTGAGCTGGACTCTGAATTCTCCCGGGCCCTGCCCACGGCCCCTCCTGATGTGCCTGTCTGGGCCCCGGGGCCCTCCGTGCAGCATCCTCTGAAGGCACCCCTTCTGCGAAGCAGGATCTACAGCCTGTCTGTAACTGAGGCATGCACTCCACGATCTACTCGTGACGGGCACTGCTCTAGGCAAGGGGTACATCAGGATGGAACACGACATGCCCGACTGCCAGCCAACCTCCCTACCGGACAAAGCCATCGTCCGACTCACCACTGTCAAACCCTGTCACTTGACAGGTATTTATTGAGCACTTATTATGTGCCAGGCACTATGCCAGCCATCCTAGTAAAACATTGATTTCAGGAACTGCAGTTTCCTACACAGTACAATTGATTACCGAGCATGAGCTCTGCATCCCAACTGCCAGTTATGTGACC